TCTTTCCCTTTAGTCCTCTGAACTGTTCCACATTCTGCCCCTGGGTGGTTTGACCAGCAAAAGTTGAAAGAAAATCACTGTTCTTTAGGGGACATTTCTTGCACGTTAGTACAGGATTTTCAACTCTCATGGAAAGTTAACAGCAGTGTGTCCAGAAGTTGCCCAGTACTCCTCTTTATTGGGTACCCCCTGTGCCCAGTAGCAGTTTGCCAAGCTGACTTGCTCAGCCAGCTGTGGAAGGTCAGGCTCTTAGGGGATGTTGTTGGAACCCTTCCCAGAAGGTAGAGCTTCACAGTAAAACTTGCACACCCCCTGGTAAGGAGAATCTGTGAAGTCCTTGCAGCATCTCTACATGCGGTCTTGCTTCAGTTGCTGCATCTTTCCAAATATGCCTCTTGGGTTTGCTCTCATTGCAGCACCATTGGTGCTTTGCAGGCTCTACCTTTGGTAGATGTTATTAGTTACTTAAACGGAGCCTCCTCTTTTTTTTTGCATGGTATGAACTTAAGTGGAAAACCTTTTAAGATAATTAATTACTCAGCATATAACATTCTTCATACTCACAAGCTGCAGAATTGGGACCAGAAGAAATGCATGATTTAAGGTTCCCAGGATATTAAGTCTTCTGCACAGAGTATAATTTACATTTATTTTATGTGTAACAACAGAGAGCCAGCTCCAATCTTTATCTAAACCAACAGGAGATGAAGACATGAGGCTTCTGTCGTCAAGACCTGGATTTGTATTAAGTCCCATGTGTGTCCTCAGGTTCTCCAGCACAAATACTCTATCTCTCTGTGTAGCTAGAGTGGTTTGCAATAGATGTGATGTCCAGTAGCATTTAGGAAAGAAATCAGTGGAAAATATAGCTGTGCAAATACAATTCATCACACTCTCAGGTCTCGACTTCTGGTGAGTGCAGCTGTGCGGTCTTCATTTGAACACTATACTTGTTGAAGGGCCAGGCCTGTTAGGTTGAACTGGGAACAACGCAGATATTGTTGCACCTCTGAAACATGCAGTGAGGCTCTCTCACATGTTGTGTTTTCTATCAGAATTGGTCCATTGCCTTTGGAAGGTTAACCCATCTTTTAGCTGGAAACTTATCTTGGATGATGTCGAAGGATTTAGAGACACTTTTGGAGCTGCAGCTCATATAGGAAAAAGGACCTTAAGGTTTACCTGAGCTCTGAATTTCTCCCTCCCAGTCAGCTGCTTTTCCAGCCAGAGTGTTCCATTTCCCAGGCTTGGCCTTAGTACATTTCAAAATACAAATCTCAAAAGCCTTTTAATTAAATCTGTGACTAAGTAATCACCAAGTTTTAAAGAACACCATATAGGGATGAGTGGATTTCTGTTTAAATCGGGGGGAAGCCTAGATACTTCTTCCTAGCTTTCCAGAAAATTGCTTGAAAAGCTGTGCAATGCTAACAGTCCTGCTTATAGGTTGCTGTACTTCTGCAGAGCACATCCTTCATACTTTCACTTTTAAATAATTGTAGCTTCTTAAATATTTTATTTTTATATTAAGCACTGATGGGGGAGAGTATTTTGATAACTGCTTAAATTTCAACGGTTGCATCCATCAGGTCCATTTCTGTTAGGAAAGGTCTGCTCACACGTATCGTAAGATACTATGGGTGCTAGTATTGTGCGTGGTACAAGCTTTGTATTGAGTAAATATATCAGGGAGTATTTTCATTGAGCTTTGTACATTGATCTTCAGACAGAAGACAATGATTCATTTTTTGGACGGATCTTTGTTAATGTTTCTGAATTGGTTTTGTTTTGCCCTGCATTCTTTTTCATTTTAACTTTAAAACCTGGAAGCCTGTTGCCGCAATGTGTTCTGTTGAACCAAAGCATTCCATCTGTTGCTGCAAGCCAATGAGAAATGGAATTACTTCTGCATGAGCCTGGTCTGGCATTACAAAGCAGTTTTTGATTAAGAAATAGCCATTGGAGGGCTTATTTGTTTTATTGTTAAATACTTTTATGTACTAACTTCCGAGTTCTGAAGAGTCTTCCCCAAGTTTACACACACGCACAACTTAAATTGCGTGGTTCAGAAATACTCACATTTTTATGCTGAAATATCCAAACAATTTGCTGCTGTGTCAAAATCTGTTGTAGGCTTCCCTGCAGTAGCTCACATTGTCCAGAACTGCACCTTTGTGTTGCTAAACTCATTGTCTACAATATCCAAAGTACACTTTGACATTAAATTGAAATTTTACACTTAGTACCATTTGTTGTATGAATCTGTATAAAAAACAGTGCAAGTTGCCCATTTCTGACAGTTCTGTGTTTAATTAGGATACCCAGAGCTGCCTGTTTATCTTTGGCTTGCACTGCCTTGTATTTCTGGTCCTTACGGCATCACCTCCATTGTAAAAATGTTGCAGTCTCTGGAGGTCAAATGGGCACAATCCCAATACGGAACTGTGCTTTAATGGGACACAGTAATCAATATAGATACCCTTTCTTGCTCCCCATACTTTGTTTAATAAAATAAAACTCTTGACACTCAATCACCCAAAGAGGACTAAATTTAGCTGCTTAAATTTTATATATACATACATAAAAAAAGACCAAACCTGTGGCTTTGATTATTGTTTCAGATTATAAATCTTTCTTTTTCTCTCCCCAGGGCCGATTACTGGAAATCTCAGCCAAAAAAATTCTGCGATTACTGCAAGTGCTGGATAGCAGACAACAGACCTGTATGATGGTCTACCGTATTATATCAATGATTCTGAAATACTAGGCATTTTAATTACAGGCATTTAACATCACTTTTGATAATCATCTCTTGATGCATGAAATTTGTTGTTTAAAAATGCCTTTGTAATACTTGTGGTATTTAAAATATGTTACGTGAGAGCCCAAAATTGCATACAAGGTGGTGTGTGCTGCTCTACTTGGCAGTACAGATAAGAACTGTAATATCTGATCCTGCTTTTTCTTCAGGTTCTGTAACTTAATACTTGATCTGTTTTGAAACCTTTTCCATGCCTGTTCCTAGCCTTGTATGCAAGTAGAAAGCAAAATCTGGCATATGTGGTTTATATACGGTAGGCCTGGTATAGCCAGCACTGTAAGCGTTTAAAGTAGATTTCTTTGATTTCAAACAAGCCACAGAAACATTACAGGCTTACAGAAAGGTGTTTCTGACTCAAAAATGCCTTTTGCAGACCACTAGACCTATTGGTTTCTTACTTAGAAATTAAGTTCTGCATTCCTGACACAATCCCAGAGTTACTTCTGGAGCTGAGCTACATCTGTCTTACAATTAGATACCTGCAGTTCAGAATGACACATGTGAACTAATTGGTTTAGGTTTATTCTTGAAGTTGGTAAAGAGAAATACACATTTAAGGGGGGGATTTGGGTAACTTACAAAAACTGTCTTTAAATGAGATGAGTCATCCCCTGGTTGTGCATCTTTGGCACATCAGTTCATGCAAAGACATTCTAGGGTTACTAGGTCAGACTTAGGCACCTAACATTTGAACACCTAAATGCTGAGATGTTTTTTGTGAGAACAACAAGAGGACTTCCACCTCTAGAGCTTCTGAGCTCCTTCCAGTTCCTAAAGGCTCTGGCAGCTTTTTGGCTTGCAGACTGTTCTATTGGCCTCAGTTACCCAACTCTCCCACCTTGCCTTTTCCCCCCTCTTTCTCAGATTTGTGGACCTGCAGACTAGTTTTAATTAATGGGATATCTGTGAAATGTAGCATCATCTAATTAAGAACCTTAGCTAATGTTTGGAACTCTAAATAAGCCATATGTTTTTTTAAACTTTGCACAGAAACAGAGGGTAAAAAAAAACATGAAGGGGTGACAACTGGAAAGATAGTGTAGAGAGGGAGCCCAGATGACCTGTTCTTTGTCTCATATGTGTGCTGAACAGTAGTATTTTAAATTTTATAAATACAAATTATGAAATGTCATTATACCATTTTGGAGCCTTACTGATTTTTCATAATTTCTATGTTCAGCATTTCTCAGTGTTCCCTATTTTCTAGAGCCACTTTATAGTGTTTGCTCTAAGTATCTTCAGAACAGGTTACATTTAGGCTTGTTCAACTAAGTTTAATCTAACTAAACTTTAACTAACTCAAATTAAGTACATTAAAATTGTTTCTTGTTTTTTTTCTCGCTTTTAAGAGCATTGATTTTCATGAAAGAGGAAAGAATCATAAAGAAAATGTGGCAAAAAGAATTAGTGAGGTAACTCAGATATCTTACTTGCATGAACACTTTTTAAAAATCTCTTTTATTATCAGACTATTAAAATATATTCTCTTTGGTTTGTTTTTGTTGTTGTTGTTTGTTTGTTTGTTTTAGATTAAAAAGAAAAGCTTGGAAAAAGCAAAAGAAGAAGAAAACATGTCAAAAGAATTTGCAGCAATGGAGGAAGCAGCAATGAAAGCATATCAAGAAGATTTGAAAAGGCTTGGAATTAAGCCAGGTAGTTCATATAGCTGCCAAAGGTTTAAAGACAGAATTGAAAGAGTATTGAGTAGGATTTTTTTTTATTTTTTTTTTTTCCCCATAAAATAGGTTTTAGGAACATGAGAGGAGATCCCCAGGGCTGTGTTTGCTCATTTAGGAAAAAAAAATGGGAAAAAAAAGGAGCCTGCAAATTGCCAGTAGTAGAAGTTGCAGTACAGATGCAGTATAGAATGTTTTTAGCTATGGTGTCCTTTGGTCCATGGAACAATATGATTTGGAGTAGAAAAATTGAACATTGTGATAACAAACAGTAGGCTGTATTAGTGCTTGAAATTAGCACTGCAGCTTCTCTTAGTTAATGTTACATTTCCCTTTTGCCAGTTGGAGACAAAAGTTCCTATTGAGTAGGAGAGGTTGGGTTCCCACTGATGTCAAACAATGCAGATGAGAATCTTCTGCTCAGTTTGCAGTTCAGTAAATACCTTTGTTCTGTCCGCGTGAAGACACACTATCCTTTTAAAAAAAGTTTGTAGTTTTCAGCTCCTGTAGAAGTTATCTTTTTTATAGCTCTTCTAGTTTCTTTTTTGTTGTTGATTAGTTAGGCCACATTGGTCCTTACAGTTTTATGTTACTCATCTTTTTATATTTGGACTTTCTTATGACACAAGAGTATTGCTACAGTGCCAGATTATTTCAATTTAATATTTTAAGTTTACCTGCTATGAGTGTAGTACTACTGGGTGAAAATACTCAGAATAACAGAATTTTCTATTTGCTGTCGCTCAGGAGTGACTAATATTTAAGCTCAGATAATTACTCTTTTTTTAAAAGAGAGTATTATTTTCTTCAAGATGACGTAGGTACCAGTTCGACACAGAATAAAACACAGACTAACACAGTGGAAACTAAAGGAAAGAAAGAAAAGAAAGAGAAGAAGGAAAAGAAAGAGAAGAAAAAAAAGACATCTCAGGACGCCTCAGTGACATCAAAAACGAAGGAGTGGGTGCAAGGATTTTCTCCTGAAGGCTATACATATTACTACAACACAAAAACAGGAGGTAAAAACTAGTGAGGAGCAAATGCAGATATAGTTATTGGATATAAATTAGACTATATGTATTACTTTACTCTTCTGCTTTCTCAGTAGTAACCTGATTATTAAAATGTGAACATTTAGGTGAAATTTTAATATTTAACATTCAAGACTTAGGCATCCAGAACTTCAGACTGGTTTTGCTGTTTGTTAGTAATGGGGGAATGCAGTAATTCCACAGATTCTGGAACTGTTTAGCCTTTCAGAGGTTAAGTACACAAAAGATAACTATGTTCTTCCTAAAGAAGCTTTGTTATCAGGAATGTGAAATAAGTTGATTGTGCCCAAGTAAATGATAGAGGTTTTGGATTGCTGTCTGATTGTTTCTTTCCACATTCACAGGATTTATCTGACTGACTTCTGTTGAGGAGCTATGTGTTATGATCTACCTTAGAGCATAAAAGCAACCCTCTTTTATGATTAATTAGAATGTTACAAAATTCCTTATAAATTTAAGGGCTGACAGTATAACTATCTACCTTAGTCTTTCTTCATATAAGATAACTTATAAAAGGTAAAAATCTTGTGTGTTTAGTTTCTTCTGGCCTTTGCTACCATTAAAAAAAAACAAAACCAAACCAAACCACCTTTTTTTATACCAAAATTCTACCTGTATATCAGCTGTAGTGGTTAATCTGAGTAAAGCCAACTGTAATTATGATGATTTGGTTTATTGTTCATACCATAGTTTGATCAAGAATTATTTACATTCCAGTGAGGTGTATCTGTAGCACATATTTGTATTTGTGCACACATCAACATCATACCTTTTAGATCTGTTTTTTCTAAATATTATTGAATATGAACAGGATTGAATGATGGATGATTTTTATTTTCTTTTTTAAAGAATCACAGTGGGAGAAGCCTAAAGGATTCCAAGGCAACTCTCAGAACTCACGAACGGTAAACAGCATTATTCATACTTCTCTTTGTCCTTGTAAACATCAGAAATAAGCTAAGCAATTTGCAGGTCTTCTGGTTGCAAAAGTTAAATTGTTTACTCCTAGTAAGCTTAGAAAAACAATTTGAATAAATAGAATGCTTTATGATGTATTTGATGAAGATCTAAAATAAACTATACAAATCTTTTTTGGCTAATTTGTTTAATAAGGGAAGAGAAGTGGTAGTAAGTGGTGTGTTTTTATAGGATATGCTTTTTCTGTGCTTCAGCCCATGAAATTGAAAGCTTTGGGGAAATTCTGAATAAATACTGTTCAGCCTTTTGTGAATTAAATTTAAGTAAAAAATTAAAAATCACACATTTGAAATAGTTAACACTTCTTTATCTTAGGAAACATTGAGATTGCATTGTCAGGTAGTAAAAAATAATATGAGCACCTATTTTTTCTGTTTGCTTTAGGATCAAGGTATGTAATAATTGTCTTTTTCATGGATTTCTTATGGTCATGGAACATATGTGCAAGCAATCTTTTAGCATATTACTGTATTTTCTTAATTGAAGGCAATGGAAAACTTGCAGAATAGTCCTAAGACAGAAGGATACTTTTTTTAAATTATTATTGTTGTTGTGGTTTCCCCTGCTACTTGCCATCCAGGATTTTTACAACACTGATGTCGCATCTCCCTGTTTTCAAGATAGGTGTCATAGGTAGAGTATGCTTTAAAGTCAGTGTTATCTGGTAATGTTGGATTTTGTGTTAGAGATCAAATAAGCGTGGCCTGTTCAGAGTGTTTTGACATTCTGCAGCTCCATATTGTTGCTTCACAGAAGGCAGCCTAGGTTTGGTACTGGGTTCCTTACAGTCAGGAGAAAATGGTTACAATTGTTTATATTTTCAGGCAGTTGGATCAATTAACAAGATGTACATGGAATTTTGTCTGTATTTCACCTTTTGTTAAGGCAGTGTTTTATCTCAGATGTGTAGGCTTTTCCCATCCAGTGTTCATTCCCAAGAGACTGCACAGCTCGTGTCAGAGCTGCCCAACAAATGCTACTCTGGCTTTCTGATTCCCTTATCCTGTGGTTTTGCACAACTTGTTAACCAGCACTTCAACTTGTATCTTTTCAGTCAAGGCATAGCTTTATCAGCCAGTCTTCTGGTAGCCTGCTACTGAAAGAGGTGATCCTGTGACTAACCTTGTGTGGTCCTTGGTGCATATTTGCCCCAATAGTGAAGGCATCAGAGTTTAGTTTAGAGCTTCGTAGGCTTATGCCCTTGCACCAGTTCTCTGGGTAATCAGAGAAATGCCAGTACGGGGAAGGCAGATGGCGGAGAGAAGGAGGTCCCTTCTTGGCAATAATTTGAAGTTGGCTTATCTCAGCTGTATCATAAACACACACCTTCAGCCTCGCATATCTCTAATGCCACATGGCTGTATTTTGCTGTTCCTCCCTCACCATGGTCAGTGACTTTGAGTTATTTTCGCTACTGCTAAAAACAGGTATTTGATTGCTCCCTTGTTTAGTCTGAGCTAAAGATACGTGAACATTCCAGATCTCTAACAAGGACTCACTGCCCAGAAACTGAAGGACATGCTTGCAATATGTAGTGCAAGTGAAATTCACAGCCCATCCTTTTTTTACAGCATGTCAGACTTGCTGGTCAGACTTGGTAAAGGTAGAGAGAACAGAGTAATGAAAAGGCATGTTGAAAACTGCCTGCAACTTCAGTGAGATTGACATCATCATGCTTATTAGTATTTATGTAGTACAGTACTTAATATGTCTGCTTTCGTGTGCTGAAAGCCTCTAAGAACATGGACTAAAATACTCAGGATTGAGCTCTTAACAAAAAGTATAGGTTCTATTTAAGACTAGTTTTTTAGTCCTCTTCCTACTTACATAAAATAATTTTTCCTTTTGCTTTTGTGGAAACTAGCCCACTGAAACTTATGAAAGCAAAACCTTGAGGAAACTTGCTCCCAGATGTCTTTCTTGCCTTTGCCTGCTCTGAACCTACTGGAACCGTTTTTCTGGTTAACAGAGCAGATCTGAGAACTTTAACTTCTGATTTTGTTGTGGTTTAAAAAAAAAAAAACAAAACAAAATGAAGTTTTAATAGAGTATTAAGTAAATGTATAGATGTGCCTGGGCAAAAGCCTATCTATATGTGTATGTGTTTGCATACACATTTCATATTTCATAGGTATTAATTAATTAGAAAGGGAAAAAAGTGCTTTGTTGAAATTTGTGCTTTACTTAATAAGTAAATTTATGGCATGGATTCCTGCAGAGTTTGCTTCTTTAATATTTTTAGTGAAGACCTATTTTGGGATAAATTTTAGGAGTTTTGTTTTTGTCTGCTTATGTTCAGTTTGTGACAGTACATATTGCAACTGGTTTTCTATTGCCCTCACAAGACCTTAGGACTCCCAGAGACATTTTTTCTTGGTCTACTTAAAACACTGACAAAACCAGGAAATAACAAGTTCAGGTGTTAGTGCTTTGGAAAATAAATAATGTGTAACATAATGGCCTTTATGGCTTTTATCATAATGTGAACTGTATAACAACCTTTACTGCTTTATCCTGCCACTGTTGGAAAAAACTGTCTCTGTGCATTTGCTGTACTTTAAGTTAAGCAATTCAATCTCATTTGAGGCAAAGGGAATACTTTCTAAAAACTTTAGGGGTTCAAGCTTTAAAACAGTAAAATTATCATAAACTAAAATGGTGAATAATCTTTTAAGTGATACTGTGGCTGATCCTTAAAACTCTTTGTAATTGGCTGCTAAATCTTTTTCTCAGGCAGGCGAGTGGGTAGAAGGTGTCACTGAAGATGGTCATACTTATTACTATAACACACAAACAGGAGGTAAGGAGAGCTTGTTTTCCAGTTAAGCTGTTTCAGAATAGAGGGTTTTCAGAGCATCATTTTGTTTTGCAAACAATGGCATTTAAGGCATTTTTTAAGCTGTTACCTTCTTTGAAATATACTTGTTGCTTAAATCAGTGCTGGCTTTATAGCTGTGTTGTCAATATGTGTACATTTGTGCTTCATAGTTTTTTTGAGACATTCAACTTAAAAGTCTAAAATATGGGTTCTTCTTTTCTACATGTATATTGAAATTATAGTTTGGAAACCAGAAAGGGGCAGGGGTTTGTTTTGACAGGTATGTAGGACTGAGTAAGAATCTCAACTTTTACTCTTGCCAACATGTCATTCATAAGAGAGTCCCGAATCTTACCTCCTACTTCTTTACTCATTTTTTTTCCCTAC